TCTTGGGTTGAATTGAATACAAACACAAACTATCCACATTGATTTTCTATTTGGTAGAAGCTAGCTCTTTGACAGAATATTTGGCCTCCATTTATGAATGAGATTGATGTTCTATTTACGTAATTGTATTATCTTCACCAAGAACCATGGTTACTGGTAATCAGTGTGGAAGGATTTCTGGTTATCCTTATCCTTTCTACAACAACCAGCAGTTATGTTTTGACATTATTGACCTGCTAACTAGGAACAGGAAATTACTTCTCTTTGTAACTAAAGCAATAATACTGCCATAGTGCTAGGCTAATTGAAAAGAAGGTTGTGGACTTTAATTTTGAATAGCTGAATGGTTTAAGGCAGACAGACATTATGAATTTTCTCACGGGAATTGCTTGGTTGCAGGTTTTTCATTACCACCTCTGTTCTAGATCTAACTATAGTGGGTTTGGATTCTGTGGATGGAGAATCAAATGCCCAAGGGCAGCAGCCACACTACTTGAAGACCTGTTCAAAACCAAATCTGGATTTGGGAAGTGCTGTTTACTTTTTAGGCCATACAGATAGTGAAGAACTGACAGTTGGTGAAGGAAAGGTGGTCATTGCCACGGACAATCTCATAAAACTGTCAACTGATGGAGTAGCATGGAACCCTGGATCTGCTGGATTTGATGCACAAGGTAATCTTGCATTCATGATCTGTGATCCCATGAAACTTGCGACATCTCCAAATACTAAATCTTCTTCAACTTCATCATCATCCTCATCATCATGGAAGAAGGATTCTCCCATGCAATTTGGTATTCCCGTACCCATTATTTGTGATTGGTTGAACCAGCATTGGGAAGGCAACCTTGATGAACTTACCAAGCCCAAATTACCGATAATTAGATTGATGTCCACAGGACAGAAAAGTGAGCATTCTTGTGCTTCCTTCACACTCCGGCAGGTTTTTAAGTCGGCAGAAGCTGATAACGATGGCACCCCATCATCTAATACAGTCTCAAAAGGTAAAGATCAACCAAATCCAGGTTGTTCTGTCACAGAAAATACTGTCAAGGAAGGAATCCAAACAACTGATTCACATGGTGCCCACGTTCAAGGAATTCCAACCCCAGAAATATATGAATCACCTAAGCTGACTGCTGGCCCTCTTAGGAAAAAGGAAAGCGCCCAAATACAGCTTTTGGATATTAATTTCCCTCCTAGGTTGACCAAAACTACAGTTCAACCACATCCAGACATACAGCTGCTGCCAAACTCCGATGAGAATTCTGTCAAGGAAATGCCTTCACAGACTCCACTGAGTGAAGATCAAATCAAGTACAAGGGACTTGCTATTCCTGAAGGGGATGCTGACATTGCCTCAACAGGTTCTGTGAATGGAGCCCACAGTGAGGTCCATTCTAGTTCTTCTCCAGTGGGGGTTTCAGAGATGTATAATGGATACAGCAGTGAGGGAGAAACAACTATGTACTCTGCAGAAACTGCTGAAAGTCGAAACTATACAAGCCCAAGAGAGGGGAAGTTTCAGCAAGTTGGCCGGAGCCACAGTTGTGTCAGTTATAATAGATGGGGAACTGCCCAAAGGAACCAGGTGGCCCGAAGGGCAATGTTAGAACAGCAGAGAAGCTTCATCCATGGAAGGAAAATGCATTCACAAGGGGCAACTTCTCAAAGGAGTAATGACTACTTTAGCCCAACTGTGTCTTCTATAATGAAGAAGCGAAACAACTCAGAGCAGCCAACAAGACCGAAGCAAAGCGCGGTTCACTCCTCTCCGAGATGGATGTTCTGATTAGTTCTTGATTATTTAATACCAAATGAGATTGGCAACAGAAACATGGTCTTTATGCTATTTCGATTTATGTCCACTCCATTTTGTATACTGCAACTAATTTGTTGTGACCTTGTGTAGACCAATCAATGGAAGATAAATAAGAAAATTCGACCAAAGAAAAAAGTGCAGCAATCATCATTCATCGAAAACCGTTTGACCCTCCAAATGTAACATTATTCTAAGGACACCCATGCCAGTCTCCCCGAAGAGCAAGAGGCTCGGTGACTGTTGCTATCAACAGTGACTGGCCTGCTCAGAGGAGGTTCTGCTTCAGGCCCTGATGCAACAAGCGCTACATTAGGTTTTTCTTTTCTTCTGGGATCTTTTTGGTTAAGGAGAACCTGAGCAAGATTTACTGTAACTATGTAGTAACAGCGAAATAAGAAATAGAGTAACAATAAAAATATAGACATTTTCAGGGATTTAAATGGTTACTTCATAGAAAGAGAAGGGTGGGAAAATCAAGCTGATGGAAACTCTGTCCAACCACTTATATTGCCATTTTTATCTGAAGTCTAGCAGGATGGACCCAGGTTGCACCTTTAGGCTTTAGCTCTTTTCCCAAGTTGTAGCAGTCACAAGCTGGTTTTTAGACCGTGGCAGCCTGGAGCCCCAGTGTAATTGGTCTCAATAAAGAAGGAACTCTTGGCTTTGGGAGGAGGTTCTCTTGCTTACAGGCCCCCAAAAAAAGTCTGGTGAAATATGAAATTTGATGTGGGAAATTCTTTGAATTGGCATATGAGGTGGAGATGACGATACGTAGGTGTCAGTGTTATTAATGCTTTTCTAGTTTTATGAATTTTTTTAACTAAAACTTAAAAAATATGATGTTATTGTTTAATAAAATAAATAAAAATATATATAACCGATGAATCATAGAAATAGAAGTTAACATTGATTAAAAACTAAAACCGAGAGTTGATTTTTATTATAAGAAACAAAAAATAGATATAAATACAAGTATTTGATAATATGATGTGAGATACTATTTGAAATATATTTTTATTTAATTATATGAAAATTAAAATATATATTGTATGAAAGGAAATGATTAAAATTCTAGATAAAAAAAAATGCTCAAAATTTTCCTCTCATTCATGTATTTTTTTAATTCCGAGAATAACATGTTTTTTTATTAGTAGCATGATTTATTAAATAAAAATTAACGGTAATTAAAAAATATTCTTCAGCATTCTAATGAATTGAATGAAATAGCAACAAGCTGATCTTTTTAATAATAATTAAAAAACACCCTTTCCTTGTCCATGTATTTCATTTCTGGTTAGAAGCATTGTTTTTAAAATGAAAATTTATTATGATCATGTTTTAATATTTTAAAAAAGGATGAATAGATCATTTTTAAATGAAAATTTATTATGATTATGAAAGTAAATTCTAATAAAAAAGTAATTTTATTGTGTAAGTGAATAGAAAAAAATTATCACAATAACTCAAGAAAAAACTATTTAAAAGGATGAAATTAAATAAAAAAAAATAATTCGAGTCAACCTTAATTAATTTGAGTAATGAGAAGCGAATTAAACAAAGCCCAATATACAACGAATTATGTTGAATGATGAAATTGATCAAAAAAATAATTAACAAAATAAAGTTGAAAAATAAGAAATCAGAGAGTGGCATAAGTTTTTTAATTGAAGGGTAAATTGAAATGAGAAATAACTTAAATAAAAAGAAAAAAATCAAAAAACTAAAAATTAAATTTAAAACTAAAAATACTTTTTAAAATAATAATATACCATAAATTTAGATTAAATGATGAAATTAAAAATTAAAAATACTTTTAAAAAAAGGTTAAAAAAAATAAAAATAAAAAAATGACTAGATTGAAAGAAATAAAACATGATAAATTAAAATTGAAAGACTAAATCAAAAACAAAAAAACTTATATAGAAAAATTAAGAAATAAAATTTAAAAATTAAAATAAAAAGAATTAAACTGAAAAAATATAATAAATAAAGACAACCATCCTATAAAAAAATGAAGAAAAAAAGAAAAATATTCAATGATGATAAACCACTGCATCTCAAAAGGCATGTGTTACATCAGGAAAAAGAGAGACTAATGATGCTTCCACCAACACGGTGAAAACTCATGCCATCAACATTTCTAAATTTAATATTAATTAATTAATCTAAAAATTTATTATGATTATTTTTTAAAATAATTTTTATTTAAAAATATATTAAAATAATATTTTTTTACTTTTATATTTATATTAGTATATCAAATCAATTAAAAATATTAAAAAATTAATTTTAAAATATTAAATTAAATTTTAACCTATATATGTTAAGGCCCGCTTGTTTTTACATTTAAAAATATTTTTGAAATTTTTTTTATTTTTTTTATTATTTTACATTAATATTTTTCAGTATTTTCAAATATTTTAATATATTAATATCAAAAAATAATATTAAAAAATATTTAATATGTTAATATCAAAAAATAATTTTAAAAAATATTAAAAAATATATTTTCAAATAAAAAATATTTTAAAATATAACAATCCCTACCTTTTCAAACACTGCATTCAAACCGCAATTTCAACGGAGGCGGTAAGCCCTCCAATCTCTTCGGATGCAGCTTCTAAAGTCTTCCTAGCTTCCTGAAGCTTCTCTTTAATTTCAGCATCAGTCTACCCTCTGTGCAATCAGCTTTGTCTTCAAGCACAACAACCTTGAGCTGAATTTGCCGCTTGCGATCATTCTCTTTAATTTCCTTATTAGGTTTCTTGGTCATCCCAGCAGTCCCCTGATCTCCCTCGAAACCCTTAAGCAATATCGGATTTTATATTTGAAATTATGCTGGGAAGCATTTTAAAAATATATTTATTTTTAAAAATATTAAAATTATTTTTTAATTATTTTAATATGCTGATATTAAAAATAAAAAAATTATTTAATATATTTTTAAATTAAAAATATTTTTTTAAAAAGACTTAGTATTATGTGCTACCTTGTTGTTTTCGGCTTGACAAAAAACTTTTTTGTTTGGATATAATCGTTGGTACCTGGCCCTCTCCATACACTTTTTTAATAAATTAATTGTAATATGATTGTAAACCAAACCGAAAATATTATTTATATATATGGTTATAAATAATAAAAAATAATTTAAATAATTAAAAAATTAGATTTTAGTTTATGTTTTCTAGTTTAATTTATATAAATTTCTAATTAAGATTTATTGATTCGATTTTATTTAATGAGTTTGATTTAATTATTATTGGATATTTTATTTAGTGAGTCATAAATCTAAACGTTTATTCTAGTTATGATTTTAGTATTTATATCCTATTTTTTTTAAATATTAGAAAGTTTTGATAATTAATAAAAAAATTTATAAACTTTGTATATTTTCAATCTCTATTTTTTTTACTTTTATTTTTCAGTTTTTTTTCTAAGAATGTTTTTTATTATTATTATTTATTTTCATAACAACTAAAAAATAATTTAGTCAGGGTATAAGGAAATAAGATGCGAATGAGATTTAAGTTTATGTTTATCTGTTACATTATTAATTTTATTTTTTTAATAACATGATGAAATTTATTTTTAAAAATTTGAATGTTTAAAATAAAAACAAAACCATCAAAACGTGCTGTTTTACCAAATTTCTTTATATTATGCCAGTTCTAAAAAAAATAAAAATAAAGACGTACTACAGTTAAATTTTTATAAATTAATATCTTTGAATCTTAAAATTTATTATTTAATTAAGATATTATTTAAATTTAAATCCAAGTCAATACTAAATAAAATCATTAATTTACCGAGGTTACACGTGTTTTCCAGTAACCCTCGGATCAGTATAAAAAATAAGAATGCGCTTCGTGCGGGCCAAATGGACGCCAGTGGCAATACCGTTATTATTTAGAAATCCAGTGGCAATTCCATTATCCTTTTCACGTCCTCGTTCCCATCGACGAAAATCAACCTTTTAAAGGCACAAGGAAAGAAGACAGGGACACTAAGAGCCCTCTTCTTTTCATTTACTGTCGTAGACAGAGACGGTGACACAGAGAGATGTTGCTCAAGGTCTCTTGTAATGCAGGAGTAGCAGCATATGCAGGGGACAAAATCCAAGCCCAATGCAGAGTTCTGGGCCAATCGCCGACCAGGCCCAACTTCCCTAGCCGTCGACGTGCTGTCGTTTTCTCCTCTCCGGTTGCTAAAGCCCCTCTGGTTCAGGCTGTGGTTTCTGAAGGACGGGCGAGTCGGGTCGAGGCCGGGTCAGGTGCCTTGGCGGATAGGCTCCGGTTAGGGAGCTTAACGGAGGATGGGTTATCTTATAAGGAGAAGTTTATAGTGAGGTGTTATGAGGTTGGGATTAACAAAACTGCTACTGTTGAGACCATTGCCAATCTCTTGCAGGTAAAAAGAAAATAAAAATGTTTAATTTTCAATTAATTTTCTTTCGGGTGTTTTTGTCTTTTATTTTTATTGTTTTTTATGAATACATCGTTTTACTGTGAATTTTGAGGAATTAATTCTCTCTCTCTCTCTTTTTTCCTTCCTGCTTTTGAATTTTGGGTTCTGCATTGCTGTGTTTGATTTGAATTCTTGAAACTCATGCAAAATTTGAGATTTTGGCATCTGGGATTTTTAATTTTTGATAGTTTCTCTTATTTGCTCTCGTAAAGTTATAATTTTTGTTTATTATTATTGTTTGTTTGTTTGTTTATATTTTAGCGTTTGGAATGTTTTTGTCTATCCGGAGTCTGGATTTTGTATGGTTTTGGTTTTGGCCTGGGTTTAGCAGCCTATTTTATGTGGAAATTTGTAAATTTATTCTGTGTCTTTCCCTTACTCTGTCAGATTCTATGCTTGTCTAGTACTGGTCTCTATGGCTTGTCTGCACATGTTTTTTATTTGCTTTATATAATACTCCATGCTTATGGCATTTGTTTTGCCACCACTAATTTGAAAATTGGCTTCCAGCTCCCGTATTTTGATGGATGTCTGTTGAGTGCTAGTTGTGTATAATACTAATACTAACAATAATAAGATGTTGTTATTAGAGTTGTTGAGGAATGAGGTTTGATTCAATTTCAAGAAATCCATATGTTTTGGGTGTAATATTGTGTGTGGAATT